GATAGACAGATGAATCAATAGGTGGCTGGAATGATGGTTGGTGGATGGGTAGGTGTGTAGGTGAGCGGATGGATGGATGGACGGATGGACAGATGAATGGATGGATGGATGGACGGATGGACAGATGGGTAGACATGAATCAATGGGTGGCTGGAATGGTGGTCAGGTGAATGGGTGGGTGTGTGGGTGAGCAGATGGATGGATAGACAGATGGACAGACAAATGGATGGATGGATGGACAGATGGATGGATGGATAAACAGAGGAATCAATGGGTGGCTGGAATGTGGTCAGGTGGATGGGTAGGTGTGTGGGTGAGCGGATGGATGGATGGACGGATGGATCAGCGGGTGGGTGGAATGTGGTCAGGTGGATGGGTGTGTGGGTGAGCAGGTGACAGGGCGGGTGGATGAGAGGATGGAGCCAGCGGCCACATCAGGTGCTTCAGGTGAAAGAGAGCAGCTTAGAGCCCACGAGGGGTTCCTGTGCTCTGCCGCGGTCCACACTGAGCCCCACTGGGTCCCAACATCGAGAATGAGCCCTGCTCAGGCTCCCTCGACCCCCACAGGCACTTGACTTCGCAGCCTTTCTTCTACGCTCCCTGGATTTTATCGTTCCAGACACAGCTCTGAGGGGTCCAGAGACATCAGGGCAAGGGGAGGTGAAGGTGGACAAAGGGCCGAGACCACGAAGGGCACACTCACCCCGACACTTACGACGGCCCTGCATGGAGTAGGCAGGGGTGCAGCTGCGGCCAAAACGCGTCACTTTCGGGTCCAGGAAGTAGATGGGTCCCGGGCTGCTGTCCTCCAGGAGGGCTGGGGGAGAGGCCAGGTCCTGAGGGCCCCCTGCTGATGGTGCCACCCTCCACCAACCCCTGGTGCCCCGGTGGCCTCAGAGCACCTCCACCTGGTCCCATCCCCCCCAGCCCTCCTGGAGACAGACTCGGCAGCACTGAGGGTGCCTGGTTCACGTTGGTCCTACTGAGCCTTCTGATGCCTGGTTGTCAGAGCGGATTCCCCGGGCAGCTGCTGCACTGCCGCCTGCCTGCTTCGGCCTGGGGAGCAGCTCTGCTTTCTTAGGTTACGCTCAAAGTCACAGCAGCAGGTGCTGAGCAAGGCCTGAGGACGCGTGTTCGTGCTGGGGCCGGTGTCCTTGTAACAAGCTGGAGGGAGGGTTCTGTGTTCAAATCCCACCGGGCTTCCTGGGCTTGTGTCCACAGGCCAGCCTCAGAGTCTGTCTAGCCCTATTTATTGTTTCACTCATTCTGAGAATGAAAAGAATAAGAATCGAGAAAGTGGAAGGGGTGGCCATGGCGCCTGGCATGTGACACGTGGGCTCTCCCGCTGTGATGGGTTCCTTATTTTTAAGCATATTAAGATACAGCTCCACAAGCCTGCGTGCGGAGTGAGCTTGGCGAGTACCGGCTGTTTACAGACTCCGGACGTGCGAGTATGCCCGTGCCCATGCACATGCATGGGCCAGAGGCACCAAGACAGGCTGGGGGCCCCAGCAACAGTGCATATGCTTTTGGGGGCTAGGGAGGACTCCTGAGAGGTGGAGGCACAGAGTTAGGGCTTTAGAGGATGACTAGGCGTTCGGGCAGCCCATGGGAGAAGAGAGACCTCCAGGTAGAGCCCACAGCATGGGCCTTGGCCTCGACGTGGACGGCTTGACGGCCTCAGCCTCATCCCGCCTCCTCCATCATAAATCTGGGGCCTCCCCGGGACCGGAAGCGGCTGGGCAAGGCCTGCGGCAGAGGCGCACGGCAACTGCAGGCGACTCTCTGGGCCGGCCAGCACGCAGCCTGCACACACTGTCCTCCCGCCCACGGTCCCCCAGCAAACCACTGAGGGAGGCACTGCTTGTGCCTGCGTTACTCAGAGGGGAAACTGAGGCTCAGTGGTATCCCACAAGGACGCGGCTGCCAAGACTCAGCACAGCGGCATCCCAAGCCTTGACCTCCCCTGGCACCGCTGACGGTTCCGGCTTCTGCCGCTGGCATCCACCCCCGCCCTCTGCTCGGGCACAAGCCAATGGTCCTCACACCCGCTCTGGCCTGTGCTGCCTCCCCGACTCCTGGCGCCTGCTGCACACTGTAGGAGGCCTGGGTCTACTGGGTGAGGGGTCCCCACACCACCCACCGCTTACCCTCGCTGGGCCTCCGGACCGGGGAGCATGTGGGGCCAGCCACTCTGGTGCACTCATGCTGGGCGTAGCCGATGGTGGGAGGACGGGTGGACAAGCCGGGCCCAGCACCTGAAACAGGCCCTCAGGTCATGGCTGGGTGAGCAGGGCCCAGAGAAGTGGGCAGCCTAGCTCCATCCCCCAGCAGTTCCCACTCCCGGCTGGAGACAAGAGAGGGGCAGGAGGCAGCCGCTGTCCAGGGGACAGAGGGCATGACACCCACATTGTGAGTCAGCGTGAATCACAGGTAGGGGCCAGGGTCAGCCTCCCTTGGGGGGCAAGGCTGATGGGGAGATTGGTGGGAAGGACATGGGGCGAGGTCATCAGAGACGGGGAGACTGAGGCAGGGAGTTCCTGTCGCCAGGCCCCACACGCAGCCTCCTCCCTTCCCCCTCCCCCAGGTGTCACTCGCAGATCCTCTGTCCCTGCCCCACAGTCTCGGCTCCCTGCCCAGCTGTGCCCCCCACGTGGGCGAGCACAGTGCCTGGGTCCTACCCCTTCGAGGACCAGAAACCCACCTCACACTGTCCTCCAGGGAGGAAACTGAGGCTTCGGGAGGGCAGAGCCTTGTCGAGGCTGGGGCTGGGCTCCCGGAATGTTCCAGAAGACAGGGAGAGGGAGAGGGAAGCGGGCTAGGGTCTCCCAGGTTGGGCCCTCAGCCGTGGAGCCCCCAGGGCCCCATACCGGTCTCCAGGGCGGCCGCTCCAGGAGACTTCCGCAGGCCTGTCTCAGGGATCTGACATTCGGTGGCCCGCCGGCCCGGGGCCGCAGAGGTCGGCCGCAGGGCGGGGTCGCAGCTGAGGGTGCCCATGGCCGGCGGTGAGGGCCGGGAACAGAGCCCGGGCACCACCAGCGGGATCTGCCTGCTCAGCCAGGGAGGCTCTGGCGGCCACAGCCCGGGTGCTGTCCCCAGCTCTCGCGCCTCCACCCTGGGGGCCTGGCAGAGCCCCGGCCTCACCACACCTCCCTCAGCCACACAGACAGCCCCTTGTCCCCTGGGCACGGAGCCTTGGGGCCCTGGCCCGAGAGGGCTGGCCACCGGACGCTGGCCTGGAAGCGAGGCCGGGATCAAGTGTCCCTGGGAGCTGTACAGTCCGGGTGAGAATCCGGTGTCAGCCGAGCCGGCCCCAGGGAGCAGCGCCACTAGCACAACCCCAGGGCCCGGCACCAGGAGGGACCGGTGAGGTGGCACGTGGCTTGGCCCCATTCCCCTGGTGGGTAAACTGAGGCGTCACACAGCTCACGACTCCGGGGGCCTGGGCTGAGGAGCACCCACTGTGCATCAGGCTCCCTTTGGGGCGGTGGGGACACCGCTGGGGACGAGGCAGCAGAGAGCCGGCCCCTGGGCAGCTGAAGCGCAGAACAGTCAAAGCGTGACGGGCGCGTGTCCGCAGCGTGGCAGAAGGCTGAACACAGGAGCAGGCAGGCAGGATCGGACGGGAGCAGCGTGGCGACAGCAGCCCTGGTGGCACGGTGGTTAAGCGCTCAGCTGCTAACCAAAAGGTCGACAATCGGAACACACCAACGGGAGAAAGATGTGCTGGCCTGCTTCTGTAAAGATGACAGCCCGGGAAACCACGTGCGGCAGTCCTAGTCTGTCTTACAGGGTCGCAACGAGTGGGAAGCCACTCTACCTGGCATTGGTTCTTGGGTTGGGAGCCGCACCGCCTGCGAGGTGTGATTTCAGCCGAGACTTGAAGGAGGAGAGGGAGTGAGTTGTGCGGGCACGTGGAGAAGAGCGCTCCAGGCAGAGTGGACAGCTGTGCAAAGGCCCTGGGGCAGAAACCAAGTCAGCGAGGAGACCTTGGTGGTGGCCCAGGACAGACCACTGCCTCCCAAACCCACAGGCACTGGTTCCAGCCGGCACACATCAGTTTGTCCCGGAAGCATCTTCTTCATTTAAAAAAATACATGTAGCAAGAAATTTGCCACTGTCACCACTTTAAAGCACACAACTTTTTGACATTCCTGTATCCACCGTTGCCCAGCTGTCCCCTCTCCCCATTCCCATCCCGCAGACAAACCCAGGCCCTTCAGCAAGGACCCCTGGCCTCCCACCTGCCCGTAGCCATCAGCCAGCTCCCGCCCACCCCGACGTCTCCTAGACATGCGTCAGGAGTAGCGGCTCTTCCGCCGGTAAGGATTCTGCTTCCCTGCCCCCACCAGAGGCTACTGCCAGGCCAGTGCTCACCTTGGCGACGTTTGCCAACGGAATTTCAAATTCCTATCTCTTCCACAACTTGTTTGTGCCTTGTTGGGGACAGAGTTCCCCCCCCACTAATCTCCCCAGCTTCTTTCTCTCAACTCAAAAACTTCACCAACCATCAAGCAAATGGGATATAAATGAATGCAAATTAATTCAAAACACATGCAAATGAGCTGTGTTTTCAATCCTATCTGATCCATTGACCAAAAAACAAACAAAAACATGCATGGCCTTGGAGTCATTCCAATCCATTGCAACCCATGTGTCCCAGAGTATAACTGCCCATCGCGTTTTCTGGGCTCATCTTTACGGACGTGCATAGCCAGGCCTTCCTTCCGTGACGCCACTGGCTGGGTTTGTAGACAGGCAGACTGTCTGCACCGGCAGCGACCGTGAGTCATTGACAGAACAGCAAATTAGGAAAAAAAAAAAAAGGAAGCTGGGACAGAGGAAGAAAGAGCTCCCCATGCCCGTCCCAGCTCTGGGCGTGA